TTAACACTTTTTCGACTCGCGCTTGTATAATAAAGCCGAATAGAGTGAAATGAATGAGTCCTCGTGAAGGATTATCTATATTAATTTTATCAAAAGCGATGACTTTTAGCGAAAGGCTTTTAGAATATAATTAAAACCAATCCTACATGCGAAGTTAGAATGATTTGCAAATAAAAAGTAAATAAAATCTATGCACTAAGATTGTTTTGGATAAGAACCATATATATATCAATATCATGATATAAAATTAATTATATAGAATTAATAAAGGTGAACCAAACAAACCCTACTCGTAACGATTAACAGAGCGTACAACGGGAATGTTACAACACAAATGATATAAAACCTTAAATTGCCATAATCTTTATTGACTATTCAGCCAAGGTCGGCCCAATTAGTACTTTTTCCAATGGATGACTTTAGAGCAGCTTAACTTTAGAAATTCTTATTTTCTCAAATCATGCGTTTAAAAATGACAGCCTACACGTAAATAGAATAAAAGACGTTGTGACCATTGTTAATTCAGTCGAGAGTAATTGTGTTCTGCAAATGCGTAAAAAATTACAAAAATGCGCTTAATTCACAAAACATTTTCGACTAAGACGACAAGACTTCACGGGCTCATGAAATTGACGAAGATGCTTTGCGAAAATCGCAGCGCACAATAACTCGTACGTTTGTTCTGCAAATTAACGCTGTTTAAAACGCGCCGCGCTCTTATCAATCAGTCGTTCGATCTGGTGAGATGGATTAGACAAGCCTGCAGATGAAAGGAAACTTAATTAGCATTGAAAAATTTATATGGTCGAATTTACATTTGGGAAACACATCTGAAATGCACCTTTGTGATGAATGAATCTTTGCTCACCTTTACTTTTCTAGGCAGTAATCGTAAAGGGCACGCTGATGACGTTTCAATAAACAAAAAAGGTATCAGTTCTTTCTTGCCGATTTCGACTTTCAGAAACTATGACTTGCAAACAATTTAATTAATCTTGTTTGCGTTCCAACCTAGAAGTTACGTCGATGGTTATAAAAACCAATGACAGAGGAAAAAGCAGTAAAATACAAGAAAGTGAACATAAGTAAAGTAATATAAACAATTCAGCATTGGAATAAGATGCGTTTAGATAGGAATTGAATTAAATGAAATATTGTTTTCTCACTGTGTTTTGTTATTATTCTTTTATTCTGAAGCATTATAGCACAATATATGTTAGTATACGTTTGCCTATATGCTTGTGTGTGTATAATATGTGAGGCAGGGATTTCTATACAAATGTATTGTTTGGATTGCATTGTTTTCGCTTTTTTATGTATTTTTTGTATTATTAGGCTTCGTTAAGAAATATGCATGGATAAATGTAGTGTATATACATGAATGTAATATATATGTATCTACACGCAACGATACATAAATTTATATACGCATATTTTGTATATACACGAGCACATGTGTTCGTTTCGAAGATATATATAAACGCGCATGTGAGTAAGTGTGAGCATATGCGTTAATGTTGCTTACGGTGCAAAGTCAACATATCAAATCAATCACTAGTGTGTGCAATCGCACAAGCAGCAGAACTACAGTAACAATAACAAGAACAATAACGACAAAAACAACAAGTTAAAAATTCTTGCTTCTGCGTTTAAGTGCTTTGGTGTCTGTCGTTCTCTTTATTACTACTTGCGGCTTGATCAATATGACAATAGCTTTTGTACCTTTTTCGTGGAATATAAGTGTGTACATAGGCATGCAAACAGATAGATAGGCAGATACACATACACGTGTATATTCCATTTCCATTATATTGTTTAGTATTGTGTTATAAATAAACCGTTTCTTGGCAGTTTTTAGGCATTTTACGCTTTTTTTCATTGTATGAAATATAGGTTTTTCTGTTTCCTTTCGATGCAGATTTTCAAGTGAGGTGCTGCTCCGATTTCATCTTGGAAGTTGTCATCATCATGATGTTAAAAATGAAACAATTAAGTTACTTTGTTAATTCCGTTTTCCCGTTGAGAATAGTTGGTTAACTTATATCTTTGTTCCCTACAGTTATAATGGTCAATAATAAAGACTAAATGAGTTTTATGTAATGCTCTATTGACGTGAAGTTAGCCCACTGTGCGTAGCCCACATTTCTGTCTTTGCTAAACGGCGAGCTATCTTAATGCTTGGTTCGCGCTTCTGTTAATGCAGTTGATAATGGGATATTGAAAAAATAACGAAATGATGAGAAAAACTATTCAAAAATAGAAAATAGAAGCATATTCAATAAAAGAAATCACATTTGGTGTTAGAAAAGTTAAAAAAAAAGTTAATGCCACTATAATGAATACAACATTTTTGAACAAATTTAAGCGACTGCGGATTTTTGATATACTTAAAGGACGCTATCAAAAAAATCTACGGTTGGCTATATTCACTAAAATTTTTTATAATTAATTGAGTGTCTTATACATGCCCTCCCCATATGGGGAGGGCATATTTGGAGCAATTTTGACGGTGATAAATTTTGGACATAGTAATGAAATTAGGTTACCTTGATCGGTTTCAGCATTTTTTAAGCCATATCAAAAATTTGCAGTTGTAACATGGTTTGTGTATTGCACTCTTTCAGTGCTGTGCATGGCAGTAGCAATAATTTCGTTTTTTCAGTTTTATAATTATAATTAAAGCCTTAGCTTGTTTTATATGTGCATGTTTTCTAACATTTTTGAGATTTAAAGCTTATTTTTTTTCTTTTTTTTACTTTGCAATAAATCGTAAAATAGCAAAGACATTTTTAACAAACACACAAATTTTAAAAATTGTTGGTTATTCTGGTGAACTATCTTCATTTAGGTAATCCTTTGTACTTAGTTCCTTTTTAAGTAAAAGTAAAAGATATTATCACTTAAATAATTTTTACGGGATTTAATGAATATTTAAAATATGTTTGATTCACACAATGACGTTAGAGAATGCATTTTTGTTCATTAAAATGCTGATATTTATGATTACGTGTGGTCGCACTGAACATCATTTTATTAAAAGAAAATAATGAAAATTTCCAGTAATTTTTGAATTAAAAATGATTACGGATTCGCGAGTGCGTAAAAGATTTTTCCTTTAGTAAATAAATAAAGTAATGAACAATACAGAAAATGAATTATAAAGATTGAATAAAAAAATTTACATGTTATATAAAGTTGGGTAATCCCGTTTTTTATCGCTTTTTATGGTGGATTAGACACTCATAAAACAATAATTTGAATCTAATATACATTACTTTTGTTACACCTAAGTGGGCTACCATCCTTTAGGCAATTCCATGAACTCAGTTTACATGCGATTATCAATATATTTAACAAACGTACAAATACGTCGTTCAAATTTCTAGAACGGCAAATTTTATTTCGAGACGAAATACGACATAGTATATTATTACAAAAGTTCCAAATTTTGAAAATGTACTGATTAATTGCTGATGAAACAAATTGTATACTGCTTTGCGGATTAGCTGCTTTCAAATTTTTAAATTACGATTTACTTCATTCAATTTTTAAGGTTTTCGTTTTAAAAAGAAGATACTCCATATTTTCCAAGCACTCCTAAGTATCATATTGATAAAAGTATAATTTGAAATCATAATTAGGTAGACTTTTCGTGTCTAGCGAAAATGTTATTTTTAGGAACTTTTTCAAGCTTTTCGAAAAAAATGTGACTACCATTGTGGTGTCATTTTTTAAGTTGGAAAATGGATGGAACAGAATTAATATACTCAGGAGCATTGATATTTTTGCATAAAACGAAGAATAGTCTAAAAAAAAATTTATGTCTCTATCTAAAAAAATGAACGGGTGAAAAAAAATTTCGCCCACTTTTCCAGTGGCTGAGCGACCAGAGCGAGGTGCATCTTTGACATCGAAATTTCGGGAACGGAATCGAGCAAACCACTTCTAGGTTCTTCGTTCACTTACAGCATTCTTACCGTACACTTTACAAATTTTTCAGCATATTTTTGTATGTCTTACTTTTTTATAGTAGAAAGCATCACGCAACGTATTTCTTCAGATACTTCACTCATCTTAAAATGAATATAACTTGTTACACGAGCAAATAATCAGAAAACTATTTTCACAAAAAATGTAAGTTAAAATCGGAAAAATTAGGATATCGACTGTAAATTTGATAGAACTGTTAGAAGTTTTTGCACATAAAGATGCATTGTCTTTAATTAGACAAAATTGGACACTCCCATCAATTAACATAAAATTCCAAAATATAATTGGTTTAATATTTTATATTTTTTTGTTCATTATTCTTAGCTTACACTGGAAGGAGCGTTGCACATTCTACAGATTTGCCAAAAATTTCGATTGACGGTTTCGAAACTGACACGGAAGAAAGTGAAATGAGAGTTTATAAAAACGTATAAATGCTATGGGAGAAAAAAAATGTTGTTGGTTATATATTATGCATAATTTTTGTTGTAAGCCACTGTCTTAGAAGTAAGTGCACAGAAAGATGTTGATGTATAACTTTTAAGACATATGTACAATTGAGCCCCTGAAAAAAAGAATACTTTAATGTAATTTGTTCCTTTCTCTGCATGTTGCGTGAAAATCTTTCATACCTTATGCTGTAGGAGTTGGGAAAGCGAGAGCACCTTAGCGAACAGTGTAGTTTGTTATCCTGTACTGTTTCACAAGCAGACAAACATAAACAATTATAAAAGTTGTGTAGAACATGTTTCCGTCTATTTGTTCTCTCTTGGTTTTCATATGAACCATTGGTTGTTGCCATTTTATTATAGATACGTAGGGTATCATTCATTTCGGGAAAGATCAATCCAATAATTGCCGCTGCAAAATGAATAAATAAATAAATAAACCAACGATTACTGAAATTTAAAGTTTTATTCGTATTTTTTTCGTTAACGGCTTGCGAAATTAACCCAATAATTTGATTATTTCCAGAGAAATGAATCGAATCTAAAGCAGCATAATTCCCATAATCTAGCAACAACCTCGTCTGCTTTATTGTTCTTTCCTTCTTTTCTATTTTTTCTTTGGGAAAAGAAAATCGTCAAAATGGTAAACGTGCCGAAACAGCGTCGCACCTTCTGCAAAAAGTGTAAGTGTCACAAGTTGCATAAAGTAACCCAATATAAGAAGTCGAAAGAGCGAAAAAGCGCACAGGGTAGACGTCGTTATGGTAGAAAACAACAGGGCTTCGGTGGTCAAACAAAACCCATCTTCCGGAAGAAGGCTAAAACTACTAAAAAGATTGTCTTGCGTATGGAATGCACAGAATGCAAATACCGCAAACAAACTCCATTAAAGCGTTGTAAACATTTCGAATTGGGTGGCGATAAAAAACGAAAAGGACAAATGATTCAATTCTAAATTTGGTTATAAGACCTCTTTTTTACCGCTTCTAAACGTAGTTCGTCATGTTAGTTGTAAAAATTGTAATAATTTTTGCGAAAAGGTATAAGAAAAATATAAACTTGAATTGAACTAAAGCAATACTATTCACTTATAAAACGTAAATAAGTAAAGTACATGTTTGTGAAAAATTCACACAAATTAACGCTCCGGTCATCAATTGTCGAGCTTGACAGACAGATTCGTTCTTTAACAAAATTATCAAAAAAACCTTAACAATTATTCTTATATTAATTTCCTTTTTGTTTTTTTTTTTGTTGAGATTATGACACTAAAAACCTATAATAATAAAACCTTTCGCCTTCCTGGCTTCCAAAAACATTTCACTTACTCGTTACGGCGAGATCATTAAATAAGTAAAAAAAGACATGGTTCTTTCCCTTAATAGGTGAAAGCCGTAAAGTTTGGGCGAATAATATAATATAATATAATATAAAATATTCACTTTTATTTATATATTAAATGACCTTCGCTGCGAGTACGGCTATTAGGCATGTGAAGATGCAGTCATCACCCAGTGGTGAGACCCACTAATTTCCATTTTTCCTTGCGCTGATGAAAATATATATATTTTATGTTGTGGGTGTGTTGTTAGATGGTACAAATAAAAAATTGCCATATGTCAATTCCTTGATATAAGATGAAAAAATTGGCAAAAACAACTATAGAATATTTTTTTTTTATCTACAGAAGTATATTTCGTTTCTGCCTTTCGAAAATGAAGACAACTTAACAATAACATTCAGCTATCAATATACTATGGTATAATAATATAGTAATATAGAGTCAAAACTATAAGATTAACAATTTTGATGTCTTCATTAGGTACGTATTCTTGGATGTTATGGTTGCTCGTGCTGAAAATTGAACTATTCTTTCACTTAACAGTATCACTTTATGTGGATCGAGATAAATTTTATTGATAATTTTCACAAAACTTTTCCCCCATTTTTCTACAATGCATATTTTTTTGGAGATGGAGTTTTATAAGGTCAGAAACTTTCATTTAAAGTAAAAATGGTCAATAAATATATTAAAGTAAAGTAAAAATAAACAAGTAAGGAACTTGTATTCAGTTGGGACCGAAACTCGCATACCCACTAACATTAAAAGCTTCGATGCCGCAAATTTTTATTTATTGTCATAAAAAAGTGAATGTGATAAAATTTATCTTTCACTATTTAATTTACTAAAAAGTATTGCTATTCAAAAATCAAACTACTACACCGTGACGTCCACCATAATTAATTCTCATTCTACTCTCCAAGTCCTTTTATACCATGGGTATGGTCAAGGATATTTTAATGAAAAAATTAGTCCAACAGATCATGGTGTCCATGCTTATTTTAGAATCAACGCATTTTCAGACAGATAACATATTTCCATTTGAAGAACGTATAAAATAGTTTTAAACATTCTATCTCGTTTACCTTATGATTAATCAACATAAAACCTCAAAAAAGTAAAAAAAAGAAAATTTAATCCCTTGTAACTTTATGTGACCTTGGTCGGCTGTTTCCATTTTTGCGCATAATTAGTTTTTCGTGAAGTAATTGCCGAAAATTTCAACTTTTTATCTTTTCTCATATGTTTACTTTAGGGATTATTAACCTGCGTGCGAAATCTTCCAATGTTTTTGTCACATTTAAAGTCAATTATGCTTTTTACGATATCTCTAGCTTCTTTTGGGTGCTGCAGACATTACGACAAAATGAATATATCCCCATCCTTTAGTGGCGCATATAAAAAGCTAAATGAAGAAACAAAATTTTGGACGAAAAACTTTTTAAAGTTTTTGTAGATTTTATTCGCGCCAATTATTACAAAAAAAAAAAAAAAACAAAAAAAGTTTAGCTCATTCAGAACAAGATTGGTTTTCCAACTCACCATGGAAATGAAATTTTTCAAATTTAATACCGCAAGTATTCAAGATGCCGTACGTATGTATATAGAATACCAAGTAAATTTGAAACAAATTTTATGTCGCCTAATACATATTTTGCGTTTCTAAATAAACCGTGTTTTTTTGCTGAATTTACACGATTAACAATTTTGATTAAGATTTTTTAGCGCTTGGCGCAAATTATATACAAAAAATAAAAAAAGTTTGTGTAAGTAAAAGTAGTTAAAGTTTCACAGTTTTTGTAAGTCTAAGTACATTAAAAACTTCCAAACAATACGATACGACATTTCTTGTTTAATTTATTGCCGCTGAGTTTCTATTTCTATTAGTATCCCCAAACAACACGCCCTCAAAGCAAATAAAAGAAAATGATGAATATAATCGTATTCCTTTTTATATCTGATCGTTGTTTTAAGTCAATTACCAATATTTCATAACGTAAAAACATGTAGCCATTTCCTTGCTTGCACAGATTTGATATAAGCCACCTGCAATGTAGGGTGCAATGCTATTAATACCCATAGGGTATTGAATGTAGAAAAAGTGTACGTATGTAAGAAACAAAAGAAGCGACTGTGTGTTGCGTATTGGTGACGGTCACACATACCTTAAATACAACACGCCGCCTACAAGCCCATACCTATACGTGCACAAATTTTTAACAAATGTGTTTTTGGTTATTTCACATTATTTATGCGTTTTCTTTCTTACCTTCTTTCTTTTTTATAATCATTTTTTTAATCGTTATTGTTGCTCTTGGTTTTTATTTTTGGGTTATATATGGGCGCATGCATTTACGAACCCTTGTGAATTTGTATGCATACTTTTACAGGCGTATATATGCTCATAGAAATATTGATCCGTAAGATGCTTTATGCTATGAGCATATATACGCCTATTCATCTAAATATGTATATATAGTTCCTACGTTTCTATTATTGCTATACATAGAATTTTTTCAATCTAGAAACAATCATATGGAATCCAAATGTATTATTTTGTTTCCCTGCCAACTGGATTCAGTGGCACCTTCGGAAATTGAAGTAAGGAAACAGGAGCACTCAACTTTTGTCTTCATATAATCGGTTTTGTTCCTAAAGAGTTATCGTTATCAAACTAAATCAAGATAGTTTTCTAATATGTTTAAAGTCCAAAGGTTCTTATTTACATTGCTAATCAAAGTTCAATCTATTGAATACGCTGCTTTATAGTTCGCTATTTTATTAGACTTGTTTTCATGAATTTATCTAACAATAAAATTTGTGGAGATAGGAAGTGTATCGTACAATTTGCAATGTGAAATGCGCTACTAAAGACTTTGCTCTACGTCTTCTTCTTTTCTTCTTTTATTGCGAACCCTATTTTTTAAAACAAATGAAATATTTGGTTAATTAGCTTCGTTGTTTTTTTGCTAAGTTGTAAATAAATTTTACGTTACAATGTGAGGTGAAAAGTCATGCCTCCACATGGCCTCAATATGTAAATGTTCAAATTGGGCCTGTTTAAATCAAAAAGTTTTAGAGCAGAAAAATTTGCACCCCCCAGTTGATTTTGTCCTAAAAGATTCTACGACCTTTCTACAAGTCGGGGTGACCCTTCTGGTTTTAAGTAACGATCCAATGGCAACAAGTGTTTCGCCCACTCAACCAAGAACCAGACTGTGTCTGCATAACGTACAGATCGCGTCCCGAAATGGGCTTTCTGGTGTCAGTTACACTATAGCCCAGCTGACCACAACCAAATGAAGGCGAACTTTGGAATTCTAGGGGAAGTCGAGAAAGTACGAAAGTGAAAATTGTTATTGCACGTATTCAATTGCCTAACAATGAGGATGTGATTGTGGATCTTTGTCACCAGAACCACACATGGAGCATAGTTATAAACAAGGCAACTAAAACAGAAAAGAGCTTTCTACATTGAGAAACTTCGGAAAGTGGTATGATTTTTTTAGAAAACATGTAGGACATTGAGTTAGATCAGATTGTATCGATTTATAAAAAATGAATGTGAAAGCAAATATCCTCATGTATAGAATACTGCAACTGATCTTTTCGAAAATCTTGTTGAAATTAGTGTCTGTTAAATCACTAAATTTCATTTATCAAATACTTCATTAACTAAGCTAAGGGTTCAGGTAAGTTGGCAGTTGTCGTTTAATTCTTTCGTGCTTTATACTTGTTATCGGCCAATAGCATTTTCCTGTAATCGGTGCAGGTATGACGCTAGTTAAGTATTATATATACATTTATTTATTTATTTTTTTTTATTTATTTACTTACACATGAAACTCAGCGAAGATAAATTAACAGCGAAATTTGACTGGTTCTTAGAAAAAAATAAATCTAGTTCTTAGAAATAAATCTTATTATTAAAAACTAATATAAAGTTTGTTAGAAGAAATACAATAAAAAAAAAGTCATATATAAACAAATAAGAAAGAAATAAACCTTACACACCACCATCACAGAGGCATACTCACAACAGGTCGAAGTTGCAAGTGAACCCCTCAGCCATTGCAAACATGCAAAAGCTTGCCAACTGATAACAGTATACAATGTCAGTTAATTTTCGACTTCGAAAATTCGAGTAAGATCTTAAGATTGTAAGATGGTTGAAATAGGATGTAGGGAAATCGAGCGTTTCAAGTATAGTTGCTTTGATAGAGTTTAAAGGCTCCGATATTAAGATTAAAATTTCATGTAGCATTCTACAAACAACTCTTAATGGATAAAACAGTACATAATTATATTTACATTGATTCAACTCAATGAAGATGAAGTGCCTATTGAAGCGATTAGGGACATTAAAGTTTATGTGACTAAGTAATGTGAACGAATCGATAGTACCATTAATTAACTTAATTAAGAAGGAGACATCAAGAATAGATCTCCGTTTCTCAATGGCAAGAATTGCTTTTGAACTAATTCAATTGGCGTTGTCCAGTATTGGTCTAACTAAGCACATGTAAAGCTTTTTTGTAATCCTTTAGCCCTCTGAACTACCTCTTAATGAAACCACCTACTACCACCGCGAACCTACCATTACTTAAAGAGAACTCAATGTGCAAATTAAAATGTAATCTTTGGTTGAATAAATTC